GGTTCTTTTCCCTCTTGCAAGGATAATCAAGCTGAAAAATTTTTCTTTTTTTTTTTTTTTTTTTTGGAGGAACCGGTTGGCAGGATTCCAGAGATGCCACTGTGTCATTGCCAATCCCTCGGTGGCTCCAATCCAACTGCTTGAATTCAGCACTTTTCCCCTCCCACTGCTATAATGTGGCCTTGCTAAGATAATGTATCTTTTTGGAGATAAAACGCACGTCTCAGCGCTGATATTGATGTGAAGTTTACTCTATTTTTTGAGAGCTCCTTGTTCTTGTTTTCTCGCATCAGGGACTACAATGCGTACTGTAGCTCATGCATGAAAGCTCAATCTAAAGAGTTTTTGCAGGCCGCGAGTTCCCTGGCTGCTCCAGTAAGAACCGGATACATTGACCTGTGGTTGCAGGAGCCATGGAGCATCAAAACAGGGCAAATTCTGCCTGAATTATTCATATATTATATCTCGAAGCACACTGACTTGCTTTTTGGGGGCAGTAACTGGATTTAGATTCTCTTAATGCACTCTGCAGCTTCAGCCAGCCAGTGAACAGCAGTGACTCACCCAAGCTGTTTAGTTAGTTAGTTAATCTTCTTATGGATTGGCATGGTTATTTAAAGGGATAGTTGTCATCATTTACTCACCCTCATGCCGTTCCAAACCTGTTATTACTTACTTTCTTCTGTGGAACATAAAAGACATATTTGACTTCCATTGAATGGACAAAAAAAATCACACACACGTTCTTCAAAATATTCTAATATTCCACAGACGATAAGAAGTCATATAGGTTTGAAACTACATGAATGTGAGTAACTAATGACAGTCTAAATTTTAGGTGTGTTTTTTTTAATTTTATTCTAGGAGTGTAACGGTACACGTATTAATACTGACATTTTTTTTATACAGGTTTCTTGGTTTGGCAACGGATTATCTGAATGCATGCATACTGAACAAATGCAGGGATGTTTTAACGATATGGCAAAAATATTGTATTATATTTTTCTTTAGGCAGGATCGTGATCCAAGATCTTATCATGATACTGTTTTATGTTCATTTTTAAGTTACTGAGCAGTACAGCAGGCTTACATGGTAACTAAACAAAAGAAAAAAGACCATTTAACAGTCATTCACAATCTAATTTGAACATGTCGCACACCTCTAGTTTGAACTACTTCACGTGGAACGTCTGTGTGTGTGTAGTAGGGCTGTGTGATGAATCCAAATTGTATTAAAATTGCAACTTGAACATATAGAAAGCACCATTTCTCCACCATGACACCCCCCTTAGAGAGCAATAGGGCTGTCAAAATGGCTGAAAAACTAAATTCAAATTTTGTACTTAAATATTATCAAAATTTGAATTATATTCGAATTTAAAATGCATAAGTTCAGTTAGGGTGAAGAAAAGCTTTTGGATTCTCTCCTGAGGCCACAAGAGGGCGCATCGAGCAAAATATTACTAATGCACGTTTATTCAAAGCAAGAAATCATGACTGTGAAAAAAAGTGCATAATGTTTATAAACCAATTATAATTAATTAAGTTGCTTAAACCACTATAAACAAAACCAACATCATGTATGTATTCATAGTAGGGCTGCATGATAAATCAAAATGGAATCGAGATCGCGATTCGACAGAAGCTGCGATTGTCATGCGTATCTTTCAGTGAAGCACGGTTCTGTGATCAGCAGTAAATCTCCATCCAGAGGCCAGAGGGCGCTCTTGCGCTGAAACTCCAAATATGCCTCGCAGAAGAAACCCAGAAAATGCCTATCGCTGCAGCTGAATAAACAGAAGATTCAGCTGCTTTCATTGATTCAACGTGACTAATAAACACACGACTACGGCAATATACGGTTTATCTGAGTTCTTATTATAATTTTCTTTAAAATAAAGTATATTTATAATGCAATAATAAAGCCTTTATCACTGCTTGAATACTATGAAATACGTCCCTTATTCTGTGTAAGAAGCCACATCATCTCACAGAAGGATTTATTTCAAACACTCGACTGACATTATGAAGTGAGTTTTGAGTAAAAATGTTATTAAATGTGGTATTTTCACATACTTTCACATGGAGCAGCATTTACTTCACAGAGCCGTAGTTCACTGAGAAGCTATGCAAACAGCTGTCATTATCGCGAACGATTTCTTCGATTTTATAATCGCGCAATAAAATCGTCTGCGATATTTAAAAAAAAATTTTTTTGCTTAACTTTTCAGTGAACTACGGCTAAATTCTGCTCCTTCTGAAAGCACGTGATGATGATTTCCTGCTGATTACAGAACCAGCATTACTATCAAAATGTGCATGACAATCACATTCGATTAATCGTGCAGCCCTAATTCATAGTTTAATACAAAGGGCCGAAAACCAATCACACAGAATACATTTTTCATTTAAAAACACGAGTTGCAGTGAGATGGGGAAAACCCCCCGCCATAAGTCTCTATAGTTTTTTCAAAGTTGAACTTACATTCATTTTACATGGCTTTCTAAACATGCCGCTCTTTTGTGCGAGACGCAAGTGCAACGGTGATAGATGTCCCTCTAGACTGTTTTATATTTGAAGACAGAGCCATTGTTTAGTCAGTAAACTACTGCTTAATAAGAAAATAATTTTATGGTGTTTTTTCCCTGCTGTACCGTAAACATAGCGATCTGTAATTTTTAAACTCAGATGTATACAGAAATGTCATTTTTGTGTACCAATTCACCCCTATTTAATACACTTTAAATCCATCCAGCCACTTTAAGTGAATGAATCCTAGCCAGGCCTGTTTTTCTGCGGAATACCTGGGTGGTAATCTATCTGTAACCCACCAGTGTGTCCCTTATATTCTCCCCTGCTTGCTCCTGTTATTGCTTTATTAATCGATGTGCTCTGATTTGTTTCTCAGGAATGCCTGCAGCGTCTCTGAAGACTCACCTGTGGATCCTGTGCTCAGGCGAGCAGAGCCACTTTTGATGAGATTGTGGAAGGACCACACTGTCAACCAGAGGTAGGATGGGAGCCGGTCAGGGTTTATTGCTTTACCAGTTGGAACGTTGTTGTGTGGCTTTGCTGTTTCTTGTAATGTGCTTGCACCAGCTGCATGTCTGTCAAAGGACAGAACACCGAGTAAACAAAATTTACAAAGTCCTATAGTGGTCAGATGGTTGCCGTAGTCACATATAGTCATTTTCCCATGCCTAATTTGCGACTTATAGGGGCAGTGTGTCATTTTTATTTTACGTAAAAGAATAAAAAATATTCACTAAACGTTGTTGTTTTAAATCTGAACGACTTATTTTCTTCATATGAAGAGTTCATTTGCAAAAACCGATAACTGAAATCAAGTTTTTTTTTTTTTTTGCGCGTTCCAAGTAATATCAATCAAACTGCAGTTGGGTTGTTTTGTTTAAGTAATAATAACTTAAACAAATACAGGTAATTTACCAAATTTAAGTTCATTGAAAGTATGTTTTTTTACATATTAAAAGTTTGTTTTATACGAAAAGCAGATAACTCCAACAGTCGTTTTTTTGGCAAAAGCAGATAACTCCACATTTCATGTTTTAGAGTTTAAAAAAACACTCGTTTAATCTTTGTAATCTTCTCAGATGACAATGTAGATGCTTGACAAACGTTGTTGTTGATCATTAACTGTATGGATGTGATTACACGCAATACATGCAGCTTTTCCCTCACCATTGTAACGCGCTGCTTTTGCAAGGTTCCGTGAAAATGTTTCCGCTTTTATTTCCCTTTTTTACCCTGAAGAAGATATCACAGGTTCATCAAGTTCGTCGAAATTATCCATCCTCGATCACTTTTAGTCAGCTTTGATGAAACTCCTCTCAGCTAGCACGTCTTTTCAAAGTGAAATTAGCCTTGTCACCTGACCTGAATACAGCGCGCTGATTCGCTAAAATGGACTTATCGGCTTCTGTTCAAAAACAACAAGGGCGCTTGTCAGCTTCTGCAGTAAAACGTGAACTCGCGATGCCTTGAAAGTGGACAAAACCGGCTTGTTTGACAAAACGTGTTTAGGGTTCAGATCGCTCTATATGTGGAGAATAATGCACGGCAATCAGCTCTTTTTTTAAAGTGCCGTTTATCGGTTTTTGCAAATTAACGCTTAATATAATGAAACTCAGTGGGGTCCAAAATAGGGGTGAAACGGATCGCAGTTGATATGTGATGCGTACAGACCAGGCCCTACGATTCAACATGCATGTGATGCACTTCACTTAGAGTGAAAGTTTATCATTTGCATGCATTTCTTAAGTTTTGCCAATTTAAACATTCAAGTGATTTTTTACCGGCCAGCACAAACTGGAAAGTTAGCTTTGGTGAACTGTTTCGAACTAATGAAACAAACTCCAAACGAACTTCAGTTTGGCCAGATTTTGTTTGAAATGACAGCACACCAGTCCTTTCTTTGACTTCGCTGGAAGTATATCAGGGACTTTAGTTTGCAGGTATGATTTCCTGGCCACGCTCTATTGTTCTATTAATAAAAAATGGCAAATTGCTGCATTCTATCTGTGTTTTGTTAGTAGGTCTTTAAGGGGAATTCTGTAGAGGCCTATATTAAAGTTCATCTTTGGAATCGAGATTTGACAGGGTTTGAAGCATCATGTATGAAGCATTTCCCTTCTGCATTCAAAGAGAGGCAGAAAGGCACATGAGTCACACTAATGGCAGGTTCCAGTGTTTCTGATTTCTGAAAGATTTGGAGAAGAGCCCGACTGTATCCCTCACGCGGCTCACATTCCTGCCTGTGGGAATGCATGAAAAATGAAACCTTGGCAAATCTTAACAAATTGAAATTCTGCCAATCTGTTGTTTTTCTGCGAGCTGTATTTGGTCATTTAGGTTAAAATGCCTCAAATTGTCACTGCTAAACATTTTCAGATGTTTATATAACGTACCTGCACATACATGTCTCATACAGCTACTTAGGGCCTGATGGTGATGTGATGCTCACGGGCAGCATTGTTCTTTACATCAACTCCTCTTTTGTTTTTCACCTTATGTAAGTGAATGTGGAAGATGAATTATAAACTTTCATAAATAATTGAGAGCCATCGGCAGAAGTTAATTTATTAATAGGTGAAAAGGGAATTGCTCTAGATCTGTAGAGATGGGCAAACATGAGCTTGTCTAAGTTTCATGAAGCACAGACGAGTTATTTCCTCTCATTAATAAAAAGTGTGATTTTAGATTAGATTAGATTAGAAATCTTTATTGTCCACACATGTGGAAATTCATCTTCGGCCCCGCCAAAACATATAGGACTACCACAAATACACTTAACTTCACAGTCCAATACAACAGACACACAAAACACAGTTCAAGAACGTCTTGCCCCAAGGATTACAGACACCTGAGACATAAAAGCAGTATATAGAAATTAGGCTAATAGTACTAAGACCATAAGTAGATCATTAATAAATAAATAACTAAATGATATTAATAAATAAATAACAGCAATTAGTTACATAATATACGTAAACCTAATTATAAATCATTTATTTAATAAAGTAATGGCAGATGGTATAAAAGATTTCTTGAAAATATTTCTTGTTGCTATGGGTGCCCTGTATCGTCTGCCTGAAGGAAGTTTTTCAAATTCATGTTGGAGAGGGTGAGTGGAGTCCTGAACTATTTGTGAGGCTTTCCTCCTGGTCTGGTTTGTATACAGTTCCACCAGCTGCCTCTGGGGGTCCAATATGATCTTACTGGCTATATTAATAATCTTTGTAATCTTACTTTTGCTTCTAGCCCCCAGATTCCCATACCAGCAGGTGATGTTATAGGAAATAATACCTTCCAGCAAACTGGTGTAAACCATCCTCAGGATTCCCTTACTCATATTAAAACTATTTCGTTTCCTCAAAAGAAACAATCTTTGGTTTGCCTTCTTATAGATACAGTCTGTGTGCTCAATAAAATGTAAGATACAATCTAGGATAATCCCTAGATATTTAAAACTATTTACAATCTCAACATGTCGGCCCCCAATTATGATCGGCTGACATGTAGGTTGCCCTTCCCTAGTAGTACTGACAACAAGTTCCTTGGTTTTAAAAGCATTTAGTGACAGAGCACTCTCCTCGCACCATGCCACCAGGCGGTCTATATGCTCAAAATAAGCCCTCTCTAAATCCCCCTTTCCTCTGGCCATAAGACCAACCATAGACATGAGATCGGCATCCTTAAACTAAAATTACTTTCACAAATCTGCATTTCATTTATATACATAGAAAACAATGCAGGTGATAACACACAGCCTTGGGGGACTCCAGTGTTCAGAATAACCTCATCAGACATGGTACCCTGTACAGAGACTCTTTGAGAACGTTCAGCTAAGAAGTCCTTGATCCATAACACAAGGTGCCCATTGGTATCCAATTTTAATAGCCGATCTAATAAAATGTCAATCCTGACAGTATTAAAAGCTGAACTAAAATCAATAAATAAAATTCTAGCAAAAGCGCCAGGATGCTGAATGTGCTTGCTAATCACATGCAGCAGAGTTAACGTAGCATCCTCAGTGCCTCTCTGTGCCTTATAAGCAAACTGCAGTTGGTCAGACAAATGGGTATTTGGCAGACGCCCTAACACAACCCTTTCCATGCATTTACATAGAATGCTGGTGAGGGCAATAGGTCTAAAGTCATTAGGTGATACAGGGTTGCAGTTTTTAGGCACAGGGATAATTGTGGTTCTCTTCCAAGAAAGTGGGACAGTGTGTGTGTCAAGCAAGGTCTGAAATAGTCTAGTTTATCTACTTTCATTGGCTTTCATTTAAAATGTAAAGTGTGAACGGTTTTTCAACAGTTTTCCTGAACACGTACCCGCCTTTCATTAGTCGATCAACAATATAGGGCCCCGCCCTCGAGGAGCGCCATTGGTTCAGCCAATGTTAAAGTGTGTACAAATGGCTTACTTATATTTGTCTCTGCACATTTCTCTGTTTGGACATCTATATTTAGAGAACATATTGATGTATTGTTCCGTTCAGTTTGGTCCTTAAATTTCTTTTACTTGGTCTTAAAGTCTTAAATTTACCATCATAAAACCTGCAGAGACCCTGAAAAACAACTGACTGTGCTGTGTGGTTTAGATGAGGAGCTTTGCCCTTGTTTTAAAGCATTTTGTGTCCCATTCAGTTCATAACTAAATTAAAACGGTAGTATGACTGTTATAGACAATTTTACATGTATTATAGGGACATATATGTCAACGTATAATACAAAACTAATATAATACACTAAAAAAATGATTCACAGGACCTGTTACCACAACTTTAAAAAATGCATGGTTGCAAGTTAAAAATTCTAATTTAATAATTTAATTAAACCTTTTTAAGTTACAGACATTATTTTGTTGAGTTCAGTTGACCTAATAATGTTGATAATTCCATTAACTTAATATTGTGCGAAATTTAAACTCAAATTTCTGCGTTAATTGAATTTCTTTAAAAATTAAGTTGTAGTAACTCAATAAAATTGTTAACTTTGGAAATTGGGTAGTGGATTTCTAGTTCCCAGCATGCTTTGCTAAGGACTGGATAAGGAGAGTAAATGACTGTTATTTGTGTTATAATGTGTTATTTTATGTGTTTTTTAGTGACGGGAGTGTTAGTGTTTAATATAACATTTAAAAGATTTTGTGTTATGTTGAAGTTTTTGTGGTTGCCATTGTGCTGAAGTGAAGAGTAGACCAATTGAAGGTAAATACTACATTGACCCTATTAGCAATAATGCCAGTGACAAGTAACATCTTACTTGTTCATTAAATATACATGCTAGATAAGTTACATTTAGCATGTGCTATGATAGCTGTGGATTTGAACTGAAAAAAAGATCATATGAATTAGTTCCAGGCCCACAAATCTATTAGTTGGAGCAACTTAATCAACTTAGAAATGTGGTTGTTACAAATTAAGTTCTTCTAACTCGGTGTAGTTTGTTGATTGAACATAATTTAATCAAAAGTTATCACAACTCA